TCTGGAGCTCGGGTGCTTGTGTTGGCATGCGGGCTCTAATTTGGTGACGTCAGTCAAGTTAATTATGTATCCCCATCAGTAAACTGGGACTAATAGGTTGGATTGCTGTAAGGATTAAAATAAGTGCATGTATACAAAGTCCTGAGAACAGTGTCTGGCACATGGTAAGTGCTTAATAAATGTTAAGTACAAATGCTAAGTAGCCATTATAAAAAATGTCATCCATCGGATGGAACGCCAAGGTTGTGCAGGCTCAGTGGTGTGCTGGAGCCATTCCTACAGTTTTATGAGAGATGACTGCACTATCATTTCCCAACTTTGTGTTCAGTGATGAAACACTGAAAGCTTAACATCAGCCACTTTAGCCCAGCCGGGCGTGGCTCAGCAGGTGAGCATCGGCCTAGGATCCAGGAGATCGAGGTTCGATTCCCGGTCAGGGCACAGGCCAGGGTTGCGGGCTCGACCCCCAGTGACTCTGTCATCATTGATGTTTCTCTCTCTCTCTCCCTCTGCTGCCTTCTCTCTGAAATCAATAAAGATATATTTAAAAAAAAAAAAAATCAGCCACTTTGGGAGTATTTACACCATGGAAATTGACAAATGCTACAAATCTGGACACAACCTGCCTCCTGGAGGACTGGTTGTTAAGCATTTACTAGAATACCACTGGTTATGTTGATCAGAAAAAGAGACTTTTATCTTTGGCAGGTGATTCTTTGGATCCGTGGGTATTACAAAACAATCAAGTCTCCACTTTCCCCACACTGTGAACAGAATCAGCAGCTTTACATTGGTCTCAGGCTACTGGACTAGTCAGAAGGTCTGTGTTTTGGTCCTGGCTTTGTCACTTACTAGCTAATTAACTCTGGGAGACTCTCTTAGGTTTTCTGAGCCTTGATTTTCTCTCCTGCAAAATGTTAAAAGTAATGTTCGACTTGCCTATAACAAGAAAGTGCTTTATAAAATCAAAATCCTATGCGAGTCATTTTTATCATATGGTACCACCCACAGGAAAGCGAACAAGAAGAATCTTTCCACCTTGGAGCTTTGACTGCAGTACTACTGGGAAAGCCAAAGCGCATACAATTTCCTGACAAATTATTTTATACTTACGGAAAATGCTGGCAACGTCTCTTAATGCACACAGAGCAATCATGTAGAGATTTTTATTTTTTTATTTTTAAATCAATAGAAAATTGCTTTTCTAAATATCCCTATAAAGACTGCTTCCTGGGAGTATTATGCAAAAATCTATTATGTTTGACGTTCCATCTGGGTGATTTTTTTAAAAAAACTCAGTGTCTGCAGTAAGGAGTGAAATATTCTTGTTCAGGTGAAGCAGATACATATTCTGCAGCTTCACAACAGATCTCCTGGTCACGGAGAGTGAGTGGGCACTCCTCGGTGTCAGAAGGCTCACGGTGCACAGGCTGAGACTGAGGGTTTGTTCACTGTTGGTTTAGTCACCTTGCCTGTCAGTCTCCCCCAGGCTTCCAGCTGAGTAGGGGCAATTCCAAGTCTGTCTCAGCAAAGAGGTAGAAAGTCACCGTCACAGAGATGACAAACGGTGCTCCAGGGCCTCCCAGTTCTCAGAAAGTGTCATTTCACGTATGAAAGAAGGAAATGTGCCGAGTCGAGAAGCATCTGTGGTTATTCTAATCACGCAGCTGCTTTGCCTTTTATTTTTTATAATTAAAAAAATTTCAACAACAGCTGACACGTAATATTATATTAGTTTCAGGTATACAACAGGGAGGTTAGACACTTATATAACTTATGAACTGATCACCCTGGTAAATCTAGTACCCACCTGGTTACAATATTATTAACTATATTCCCTGCGCTGTCTTTATATCCCTGTGATTGTTTTTACCACCGCCAATTTGTACATCTTAATGCCGTCACCTTTTTCACCCAGTCCTCCAACCCCTCTGCTGCCTGGCAACCATCAATTTGTTCTCTGTATCTATAATTTTGTTTCTGTTTTACTTGTTTTGTTTTTTAGATTCCACATGTAAGTGAATCATATGAGTCATCTTCCTCTGTCTGACGTATTTCACTTAATACCATCTGGGTCCATTCATGTTGTCACAAATGGCCACCTTTTTCTTTTTTATGGCTGAGTAATACTCCACTGCATAAATGCACCACATTTCTTTACCCACTCGCCTACCGATGGCCGTGGGCTGCTTCCACAGTTGGTCATTGTGACTGATGCTGCAGTGAACATAGGGTGCCGACACCTTTTTGAATTAGCGTTTTGAATTTCTTTGGTAAGTAACCAGAAGTGGAAATCCTGGGTCATAAGGTAGTTCTATTTATACTTTGGATATTAACCCTTTATCGGATGTATCGTTGGCCAATATCTTCTCTCACCGGTTTTCGCTCTGTTGATGGTCTCCTTCGCTGGGCAGAAACTTTTCAGTTTGAGGTCGTCCATTTGTTTATTGTTTATTTTGTTTCCCTTTGCCTTTTATTCTTAAAGGACGTCGTATTGAGAAAGTAAGTTTCACGGTATCACATAACGATGCTTTGTTCCGCTTCACCTCCGTCTGAAATGTAACTTCATTTTGTGCCCGGCCGGCTTGTCTGATCAGAGCTTCCCCAAGGGTTAGTAGGTATAATGTTGGGTTCTCCTTGACCGCATTGTTCACTGTTAAATACATGGGGAAATCATGTTAAATGTGAACAGGCTTTTTGTTTGTTTCCACCTGTAGGAGCCACACTGGGCCAGCACGCTCTCTGGCTCTCCCAGAGGCATCGCCGTGTGGAGCGTTTTCCAAACGTACTCGGTCACAGGGTCCCTCATTCACGAACATTTCGGGGAACAGGTAAGCCCCGGAATACACGTTAGCAGGCTCATCCTGGGCACTGTTAGCTGAGCTAACACCAGAGTTAGTGGTTCACAGGACGACGGAATGCTCCCTAAAGGTTGGAGGGAATCGGGGGGGCTTCATGGAGGAGACATCTGAGCTGGGCTTGAAGGGTGAGGCCAGCGTCAGCGGGCAGGATTGGCAAGCAGGAGCCTCTCAGCTGGGCCGGGTGGGCATGAGCAAGGGCAGAGATGGGAGGGCGCGCACTTTGCCAAGGGAGTGGCAAGCGTCTCTCACTATGTCCTCGAGGGGACCTTCAGGTTCAAGTAAACATCCCCCCGATGACCGCAGACGGCCCAGTGCACTCGGGGGCAGCAAGGACAGGACAAGGCGGCACCAGGATCTGCTCCAGCCGTAGTCACGGCACAGTCCACGCAGGCTGTCTGTCCAGCGTTGTCCTTCCCTCCTCCCCGCCCGACAGCTTCGGTGCAAAGGAAGGGGCCTCGTGTTGGGCACATAAAGGAGTCCCCCAGGTAGCGGCTCGGGTCCCAACCCCACAGGCATTGCTGCCAGCGCCCCATAGGGGACACGCTCAATCACAGTCGCCACAGTCGTCCGCAGATGGTCTGTCTCCAGATGCTGCGAGTTCCTCCCCATCCCGATGTAACTTCCCAGCCAGAGGTCATTTTAAACGCGCCAGTTTGCCCGTGTCCCACAGTGGCACAATCGTCGTCTCCGATGCCCACGGGGCAGGGCCAGAGCGTCAGCCGGAGGTCACGTTCTGCAGAAGCTGTGCCCTTACCCTCAGCGCTTAGGGACTGAGCCCGCGGAGGCCAGGGGGCGCCCCGCGCGGGACCTTGAGCCTGGACGTAAGCAACGGCTAGTGACGTGGCGAGGCACCCAGTGTCCGGGCGTCACACTGGGCACACAGGTAAACGCTGCAGCACACAGGTCTCGGTGCTGGCGTCTCAGGAGCCCGAGCTTACGCGCAGGGGCGCGGGTGGCATCTTCGGGGGACGCTCGCCTGAAGGGACGGACTGTGCCCTCCGCCACAGAGGTGAGCGGCGGCCTTCCCCGGCTCCCCGAGGACCCGGTGCTGTGACGCACTCCCCGTCAGGGTCAGGGCCAGAAGCCAGTACCTGCTGCTCAGGTGCTGGCCGGAGCGGCGTGCTCCCAAACCTCGGGGACCGGGGACATCCTTTCCGAGGAAGAAAGCGGGAACCCGAGGCTCCCGCGGTCCTTCCAGGCGACGGGCCAAAGGCAGCGGGTCGGGAACTGCACTGAGTGCAAACCTCTGGTCTTACGGGAACTCGGGGCAGTTTGTCCTCAACTCGCTAACAGGGCTGACCAGCTGCTCAGTGGCCTCCGCAGGGCCACCGCCGACGCCCAGCTCCCGGGCCGCCCCGCTCGGGCCTGGGAGCCGCCTGGTGCTGCTGGGGAGGGGCCTGTGTTCCCGGCTTCGCTGCCCCCCAGGTTCCTCCACTACCCCCTCCCGGCTTCGCTGCCCCCCAGGTTCCTCCACTACCCCTTCCCGGCTTCGCTGCCCCCCAGGTTCCTCCACTACCCCTTCCTGGCTTCGCTGCCCCCCAGGTTCCTCCACTACCCCTTCCTGGCTTCGCTGCCCCCCAGGTTCCTCCACTACCCCTTCCTGGCTTCACTGCTCCCCCAGGTTCCTCCACTACCCCCCCTCCTGGCTTCGCGGCTCCCTCAGGCTCCTCCACTCCGACCTCCCCGCCTCCCTCCTGGCTGACTTCCTAGCTGCCCCCCGTGGTGACCAGGAGCTGATGTGTGACTGGGGGGGGAGAGCTCACTTCCTCCTGCAGGTGACAGGCTCGAGCTAGAACTGCGGCCTGAAGACTCAAGCACCACCCTCCCTGTTCACCCGCCCACACCCGTCACGCAAACCCTAACAGCACCCACAGCGTGGTTCTGAGAGCCTCTTGGGGCACAGTCCCTGCAGGTCAGCAGCGGGTTAGAGTTCGGTTCCCGTTTCCTCGCAAAAAGAAAGGCAAGGAGCTGTGTGCCCTGCGGCCACGTATCCCAGCACAGAACAAGTCTCCACGCCCGCCCGTGGCAAAGAGTTTAAACCCACCACGCTCAGGTCCCCTTGCGACACGGAGAACTCGCGGTGTGCAGCCCGGGCCAGGATGCTTTTCACACGGGTGTCGACAAGGGAGGCACATCATCATGAGTCCAAGAAAATAAATTTATTAAACTTTGAAGGAAAAAAATCCACAGACAAAAAGAAAGTTAAATATAAACTGCAGGACACAACTAGTCATATGAGTAAATAATGGCTTGTGTGGCCAGCAAAGTACCAAACTGACATTCGGAGACTGATTGAGGTATTTGGCTATTTTTGGCGATAGAAATGTTGTCAGCCTATTGTGAAATAGTAAGAGAGTTTTCCCAAACACACAGTTTTAAGTTGAATTAGGTTCTACGTTGATGAAGTTTTATATGAAACTAAATTATGTAGCTCTTATTGAAAACCATAGCAGCAAAGTAGCAGAAAATCTATTAAACATCTATTACAAAGTAGCATTTGAACTTTAAACACCCAATTCCAGCTTTTCACTGTCCTTGCAAGAAGGAGGGAATTTAAAATGACCAACCGTGAGGCATACTTCCTAAAAAGGTCTGAGCTAAATGGCAAATACTCCTGAAGTTCAAGCTAACTTTAAAGCTGTATTCACCCTTTCAAAAAAAATACTTAAAATGGGAAGTGTTCTTCAGTGAGATAAGAGTCTTCTCTTCTTTATAAACTTTTTGGGGAGCTATCCCAGTGCTCCTAAGAATGATGTTTAGGCTACTAAGGGATTGAACAATAACTCATAAATTACTCGGGCCCCTTGTTTCCCTTCTGAGTACCTGCTCTGAGGCCCATCCCCTCAGTGGGGAAATAAAAACTGATGAAACGCCTTCTTTTACGGCTTTAAACAAACCCTGCACAAGGTGTGGGAGGAAGAAGGCCTCTGCTACTGGCTTGAGTAAACTTGGAGTTATCTGTGGGGATTTAAAGTCTTGCTTCTCCGGTTTCTCGTTACCATAAATAGTACGTGTCTGCCTCTCGGCTGGAGACAAACCGCTTCCCGCACTGCTCGTTCCACTGTCCGGTTGGTCGCGTTCCCACCCGCTTCCACCTACAAAGTGCTCCCTGGGCCTGTTCCCTTCGCGGTGCCCAGGAGAGGGGGCCGCTGCCGGGGTCTGGGGCTCCCCCCCTCCACGTGAACCGCCTTTGATTCCTGCTCCTCCTTGGCACGTGTGCTCTGACACGGACCGAAATGCAGGTCAGGAAGGGCCGTCTGTCTGTCTGCTTTCTGGCTCATGACAAGTTGGCCTGTGCAAACATTTTCAAGTTTTCTAAATGAACAAATATTTGTTTAAAAATTCAGCGAAGGCGAGCATGTCCCACTGATCTGGGCAGTTACAATCTTTGTAGAAGTGTTGAAGGAGCCTGGGGAGGTATAAAAAGGGTTTTGTAAAAAACTAACTTATTTGTTCTCTTTAGGTGCACTGACCAAAGGTGACGTCAGCTTCAGACCGTGCTCGCTCCGCTCTTCAGCCGGGTCCACACGAACCTCGGGACACAGTGGGTGGTGCGGTAGAAAACAGCCATGCTTGAAGTGTGAATTATTAAAAATATCTTTATCAATTTCATGTCAAAATAAAGTTTACATATCCAAACTATTTTTTGTTCTCTTACCTATAATTTTAGCTCCGGATCACGTAAAAAAAAAAAAATCAACCTGTGCTATAATTCGCATTAGATTCTCCTGAATTGCAAAAGCCACCTGATTTTTCGCTTTTTCAAAAAGCATGATTTACTCTACATTGAAGACACAGCCATTCGAAGCTCACATCACAAAATTAACACCCACGACAACCAGACAATCACTGCCACTGGACGGTCTTGGAGACGATTCTTTAAAGTATTTACAATTCACAACAGGAATATCTATCCGATTAAGCGGTCGGCTTATTTTTTTTTTTTAATATCGCGTTTCCACATTTCAGGAAAAGGCATTTGGAATCCACACGCCCCCCGCCCCCACCGGCCCAAAAGGTTTCGCCGTCGTTTTGGTTTAAGCATTCGCCCCAGCCCTGCGGGCCGTCGGATGCCCCGCTCGGCCTGGCGGCCCGGCCGCGGCTAGGGCATGATGTTGTCCAGCTGGTCGGCGCTCACGTAGCCACAGGCCGAGAGGAACTCCTTGTCGGGCCGGGGCGACGCGGTGGCGTTGAGGATCAGGCCCTGCGGGGACTGGACTATGTGGATGGAGGTGTAGTCTGGGACGGGCGTCTGGGAGCCCGGCGCCCCTCCTGCCGCCCCAGGCCTCCGAGCAGTAGTGGTAAGGCTTTCTGTGGTGATGTAGGTGTCCTCCTGGTTAAAGCTTGGCGCCCCCCGCGCCCCCAGCTCCCCGGGCGGGGCCCCGGCGATGCACTTGGTGGCGTCCGCCTCGCAGAAGTAGGCGCTGTCCGTGAGGAAGTTTGCTTGGCAGGGGGCGCCCACCTCGGGATGCGCGGCGCACGGGGCTGTCCCTGCCTTATGCTTTTGGCCCGGGGAGAGGACCACACTCCCTGCTGGCGTGATGTCGCTTACCTGGGCGTAAAAGTCAATGTTTGCCACTGAACTCGGATTGTTCAGCTGAGGATGGGCGGCTTGGTGGGTTGACTCAGTTTCCCCAAAAAGTGGTCTTGGTTTGTCTTCCTGGGCGAGGCCAACACCGGGCTCCTGCGCGGCAGGGGCCGCAGCCCTCGGCGGCGGGTCGGTCCGGTTCTTCGCGTCAAGGCACAAGAGATCTGCTTCCCCCTTTAACCTCTGGGGCTGCGCGGCCTCCAAGGCACCGTCGCCCAGGTCACTGGCCTGGAAGTCGGCCTCCAGGATGTCAGGGTCGTAGCAGCTGGTACGTCCCGAGTCGTCATCCTTCGCCCCAAGGATGTTAAGTAATTTCTGATGGTCGTCGCGGAGAAGCCTGTCTGTGTCGGACCCGTCCGTCTTCTCATCAGGGTCGTCGATATCCAGCTCAATGAACTCAACCCAGGAGTCGTCGTTGCAGAATTCAGGCTTGCAGCTGTCGTGAACGGCTAAGATTGTGTTCACCTCCTCCAGTTTCCCTTCCTAGGACACAGAGAAAGGGAAGATCTATGAAAAGCAACGCGCAGTGGTTCAGGGGGTTAACAAGTAACACTAAGGGACTAAGTACAGTTACGATACAGACAACAGTAACAGAACCATATAATAAAAAAGGCAGATTAGGAAAGAACTTGTAAATACGTAACACATAATTTTAACAGATGTAACATTAAAAACATTTTTTCTCCAGAAGAGGTACATGTAGCTCGCAAAAGCCCTCAACACAAGACAACGTTCTCCAGGTGTCACTGAATTAAATTAGTGTTATCGATAAGTTAGATTATTAATTACCTTGAAGAGGCCTGGATCGATTCCTTTAATCTTTGGAACTGGAACTGGGGGCAGAATCAGCATCTTAATCCTTAAAGACAATTAAAATTTTGGTTTGATGTATCTTAAAAGTTGCACATTCCTTATTTCAAAAGATAGAAATAAACTATTGGTGGCACAATTACTTAGTTCAAATATCCTGGTACTTTGTAAGTAGAATATGAGGCAGAGAAGGGAAATATCAAGCAGTGGATGACAAGGAAAAAACAACAGTAGAACAAAAAACCAAAATAACAACAACAAAAGGCCCTTATCTGAAGTCAATTTAAATAAAATGTGGCTTTCCTGTACTCTTTTTTTTTTCCTTAATGTCTTTTATTGGCAGCCAGCTAGTATTTGGGAGTGAGAAATTTGGTACCATCTAAAGCCAATTTCCATTTCAGTTATAAGCAAGGTAATTTTAAAGCACATTTCACCAGTAATTAGCAGAGAAAAGGCAGGAAGGTGGGAGGAAGGGAGAGAA